TGATTGAAAGGGCCAGAGGACAAGCTTGCTGCCGTGAAATGGCCTTTAATATGAATCTTAAAGAAAAAAAGGGCTCCATTTCGCTAAACATTAATAACGATGCTTAGAGGCATTCACTCTTATTGAACCGTCATGTTTCTCCTGTGAAACCCAAGTTTTTAGAGGGACTGAAGTTTAGGCTCTTGGTCGATGGGGTATCTGGATTGTGTGGTGTTTGGGTAAGAGAGGGGTGCCAGCCCCCCTCCCCTAGGGCTTCAGCTCAACTGACCTGCTTTTTAACAACAGCTTCTTTGCTTTGGAGTTACAACTGGTTACTTTCCTTTTCTCCTTTTCTTGCATCTTCTCCTCCTCAAAAGCAAGGGGCGTCAAATGGGTCTCGTATTTGAAGAGCCGTAGTCCTTCCTGCAGACGCAGGGTGTGCCTTTGGGCCCCTGCATTGTTGCCTGCGGGAGCAGCAGCAGCAGCAGCTGACATTTACAAAACTCAGTAGCCTCTCCGAAGGAAAGGGCCGCTTAACATGGCCTCTTGTGACTGCTTCTTGCAAGAGGCCATTTACGCAGGCCAAGGAAGAGCCCGTCTGTTAATTCCGAAGCGGACGTGGAAATAACCTTTTTAAGACCCTATTTGCCCCCCCCCCTCTGCTTCAGGACGTTGTGCAGCCCTGTTCCTCCCTCCCTCCCCCGCCGCCCCTCCCTCCCTCCCCGCTGCCTTCCAAATATTGCTTGCAGTTCTCTTTATCGAGCAAGTGTTTCCGTTGCTACAGCCTTTGTTCCAGCTCCACCAGTCGCTCCTGTCTCTGGTCCGTCCTCCGTGCCTCAAGTTCACCCCCCACCTCCCATGGACGATGAGCCGGCCTCTAAGAAACTGAAGTCCGAAGAAAATCTGATGCCGGAGGAAGAGTTTCTACGCAGACACAAGGTGCAGAGTTGGGCCCTTAACGCAGGGCAGGCAGTCCTCGGCTTACGACCGAAAACGACCTCCATGTGTCCATTGCTAAGCAAGGCAGTGAAGGGAGCTTTGCCCCCACGTTACAACCTTGCTTGCCCCAGCTGTTAAGCGAGGAACACGGTGGCTGAGCAAATCGGGTTTCCCCATCGACCTTAAGTCGCAAAAGGGGATCACAGGACCCCAGGACACGGCAACCGTCACAAGTAGGAGTCGGTTGCCAAGTATCTGAATTTTGATCGCGCGACCCCGGGGATGCTGTAGCAGTCCCAAGTATGAGAAATGTCATTTTTTCCAGTGGCGTCTTTGAATGGTCACTAAATGGAACGGTTGTAAGTCAAGGGTCACCTGTAACACGTTTTGTGGTAAATCTGTCATTTTCCCGGGGCCAAGTTTCGCACCCTTTAGGACAGGGTTTCTGAAAAGCTCGGCCCGTTGAAGAAGTCTGGACTTCAACTCCCGGAATTCCCCAGCCGAGCTTTTCAGAAACACTGCTTTAGAAGTTCCGTTCGGATAGTCCTCGGCTTATGACTGTAACCGAGCCTACAGTTTTAGTCATAAGTTGTGTGAAATGCTTCCATAGGGAGGCAGTTGGAACCAGCCCTTTCTAAAACAGCCCAGAAAATGGCTCTCTTTCCATTTCAACTCATGTTTAGTGATTGTTCTTGGGCCTTGTGCTCTCGTCTCTGTTCCCCCAGGGTCCGGTCACTGTCAAAGTCCAAGTCCCCAACATGCAGGACAAAACGGAATGGAAGCTGAATGGCCAAGTGCTGGTCTTCACCCTCCCCCTCTCCGACCAGGTATGTATATTGGCCAACGTTGTGATTGAGGGATTCTGGGAGTTGTAGTCCGTACACTAGCAAATAGCTTTAGAAAACCACTATGACCTAGAGACAGCGATGGGTTTCTTAATAAACCCAACTATTTGTGGCCCCAGCTAGCTGGCTTGATCTGAGTCCTGGAGAAAACCCAAAGCGTCGCAACTTCAGATCGTCGCTAAATGAACGATTGCAAGTCAAGGAGTTCCTGTCTCTAAAATGCAGTCTAGTCTGTGTGTGTGTGAACTGCCCATTATGGCAAAATACCGGGGACCTTTGTGCCTCTCAACCAATCAGTCAGAATAGAGCTGGAAGGGATCTTAGAGGTCTTCTAGTCCAACCCCCTGCTCAAGCAGGAGACCCTATACCATTTCAGAGAAGTGGCTGTCCAGTCTCCTCTTTAAAAACTCCAGTGATGGAGCAGCCACAGCTTCTGGTGGCAAGCCGTTCCCCTGGTTGATTGTCCTCACTGTTAGAAAACCTCTCTCTGATGTTGTACCATGTTCTGCTAAAGGGGTCCCATTTTCTTCGGCCTGCAGGTTTCCGTTATCAAGGTGAAGATTCACGAGGCCACCGGCATGCCTGCCGGGAAACAGAAGCTCCAGTATGAGGTGAGTCAACAGGCCTTGGAAATGGACCCCTTCCACTTCCTCAGAGGCTGCAGTTCACAAAGTGGATCCTGCTTTCCTTCTTTAATCCAGCCCTGCACGTTGTCGGAGTCTCCTTGACACAGAATCACCGGCTTAAATTAACGTGTCCTCTCACTTCTCAGCTTGAACTCCTTTCCACTGCTGGACCAGATTTTCTTATTGGAGCAGAGCAAGTCTGCGTGTGTTAAATGTGTGGGTGCATGGATCTACACACATCCAAGAAAAATAAGGCTTGTTTGATATTGACCGAAAGCCAAAATGGAATTTTTTTTCTCCCCCAGTATATTTCTCAGAGTCCCTTTAGCTAGATTTATTGAGGAGAGAGAGATGGGGCTGCAGGAACTCTCAGCTCCAAATCTACTTGGGGGGGGGGCTTCTGCAGCCCTTCTTGACTGCCTTATTGTGAACTAGAGAAATGACTTGTCTTTTTCCCCCCGGATTCTTGCAATTGTTTATGTAACCCGTTTCATTCCTCAGTCGGAGGATTTTACCAATAGTTCTGCTTTTTATTTTGTGACTCTGGGTTTTGGTACCATTTTAATCAGGATCTTAATCAGAATACAGCTGGAAGGGATGCTGGAGGTCTTCTAATCCAAGCAAGAGACCCTGTACCATTACGGACAGGTGGCTATCCAGTCTCTTTTTTTAAAAACCGTCAGTGATGAAGCACCCACAGCTTCTGGTGGCAAGCTGTTCCATGGATTAATTGTTCTCCCTGTTAGGAAGTTTCTCCTTGCTTCTTAATTCCTTGCTTCTCTCCTTGATCAGTTTCCATCCATTGTTTCTTGTCCTGCCTTCAGGTGCTTCGGAAAATATTTTGACCCCCTCTTCTTTGTAGCAACCTGTCAAATCCTGGAATACTGCTATCATGTCACTCCTAATCCTTGGTCTTGAAACCGGTCTTGTGTCTTTCAGGGCATCTTCATCAAAGATTCCAACTCCTTGGCTTACTACAACATGACCAGCGGGTCAGTGATTCACTTGGCCCTGAAAGAGAGAGGAGGCAGGAAGAAGTGAGCGTCCACCTCCGGCGTGATGGGACAGCCCGCTGTTTGACTTCCTCACCTGAGTAGCAGCCAGGCTGTTATGTCTTTCCTGGGCTGTTTTCTTGGCCCTGTGCATCTGTTTAGTACCCCAGAGGCTAGAGGAAATTGATCTTACCCATACTGTCATTGTGAACGTTTGTGCTAATTCTGTGCTGTTTTTAGCAGCTTGCGATGTATTTGTAACGCGTTTGTGTTCCACTAGCGCTTGGTTTAATTTCTCATAGCAATCTTTTCCCCTAGTAGTGGCTAAAACTCTCGCAGTTTAACCTCGTGTCTAAGGAGTTGGATGGATCTGCTTTGGTTCAGAGTCTTTGACCTGTTGTATGGAGCAATCGGTTTAATTGTCTAGTGACGAGCAGGTTTTGCTGGGCTCATTAAAAACCTCTTTGATTCCCCACCTGAACTTTGTGCGATCTCCTCGACTGACAGTACACGGCGGTTCTTTGTCTCCCTGAGTGTTTGAGAGAAAGCACAGTGTGCAAATGCACCAACGCTTATTTGTGCTTCCCTGTGCTCAGAATATTTCCCAGAAGAAAAGTGTCAGGCCTGCCCCAGGTCGGGCCCTGGGAAAGAAAAACTCTCGACTCCATTTGGTGGAAGGGATAGGCTCTTTTACTAAGGAATAGTGGTTGCAGCAAAAGCAAGGCTAGATCTAAAGTTCCCACGCAAAATTACAAGATTTTCCCCTGTTGTGGTTCTCACCCCTGACTGGATTATCGGTGTCCAATAGCATCCCGGTTTGATGTTGAATCCAGAGACCCCCTTCTAAATTAGTTCCTAGTACTGTTCCTTACCTTCAGCTCTGCAAAAGCCTTCGGTATCCTTATATCCTTCACGATCTCCCCCCCTTTTAAAAAAAAAAGCTCTTCCCTCCCTCCACCATAATTAGGGGACCTGCTTACTGGATCGTAATTCAGAAGAACCACCGATAACCTCCCGAGACCACAACTTGCTTCTTTACATTGTAGAACATAAACTTGGTTACACTACATGAAACCAACTCTTCAGCAACATATAAGACATACACTGTCGTGTTCAATATATTAACATGTAGGAAAGACCACATATACCCCTCAAGCAAGAAGGGGCTGTTCTGAGCCCTGGCTGACTCCGCAGGGTTGTCCTGGAGGGCTGGTGCTGTCCCACACACTGGGCCAGTTCTGAGCTACCAGACGGGGGAGCAGGCTGGCCGGGTGGCCGCTTGGACAATCTAAGGCTTTGGACTCGGGACTGATACAGAAAGCTGGAAGGGGGTCCAGGGGTGAGAGGCTTCTGGGCAAGGGCTTGCCGGAGTGGGCTGCAGAGGCAGCGACTGGCAGGATGGGCAGGGGCTGGGGGGGGGGCTTCTGGGCAGGGGCTCGCTGGACTGGAAGACGGCTTGCAGATCAGGTGGGCTGCAGAGCAATNTCCTCCTCCTCCTCCTCCTTCCTCCTCCTCCCCCCCCAGGGGGCGCCTCTGCCCCTCGTCCCGGCGGCCGCGTTCCTGGACCAGCCGCGGGGGGATCGCGCGAAGCCCGCGGGCGGCAGCGGCGACGGGCAGGCATGGAGGCGGCCGGCCGAGGCTCCCCCTGCCCGGCTCTGCGCGCCCCTCTTTGGCCGCGGCTCTGCTGCCTCCTGCTCCTGCTCCCGCGGCCGGGCAGCGGCACCTGGAGCCGCGCGGGGCTGCAATTCGCCTCCCGCAGGTAAGAGACCAGCCTTTGTCCCCCCCCCCCGACCTGGCGGGGCACCCCGCATTCAAGGCCGGCCCTGGAAGCGAGGAAGCCCTCCTGGCGGTGCAGGAGCCTGAAGGGGGAGCACCGTACCTGTTTTGGGGGACGGCCAGGGCCGCTGCCCTGATTTCTTGGCCGCTGGCTTCCTGGCGGAACTCGGGGAGCCAGGCTGCCTTTCCAGAGCCCGTTCGCACGACCCGTTGGACTCCAAGCGAGCCGACTGCGTGCCGGGACAGCGTGTTGCGGGAATGCAGCCTGAGGAGGGGAGGGGGACCTGCAGGGGCGCAAAAAAGAAACGGGCGTTATAGATCGGGATTCAGTTAACCCTGGATGAGTGTTGTGTGTGTGTGTGTGTGTGTTTGAATGCAGCGCTGTTTAAGGGGAATCGGAGCTCAGATTGCCCGGGATCTTGCATCTCAGTTTATGGAAGAAGCCACCAGCCTTTTGTGGGCTGGAGAGTCTGCATTGCAACCAAAACAGGTCAAGAAACTGTCATTATGGCATGCCAGGCTGCCTGAATCCGGTTGTGGAACTCAAAGAATCTGCAGCCCTATTTTTAAAGCGAGATCTAGTGGCAGTGAGTTCCATGGGCTCAGGATGCTTTGTATGGCCTGGGTGTTTGCTAGTTCTGACTTTGGGTGGGGGTCAGAAGCCTGGCTCCACGCTAGCCACCTTGACTTTCCCAAGCCAGCCAGCCAGCCACCGCCTTCTGCTCCATCAAGAAGCTGCTTGGCTGTTGGAATTCTGCATATTTTTCTTTATTGCTCCATCAGAGTAAAGCTGGCTCCGTCCAAGGGCACTGCTGACAACATGAGTTGCGACAGCAGGCCAGGCACGGGATCCGGGCACAGGATCCTTCCCTCTCAAGGTTCCCTTGAAAATGGAGAAAGAATCAGAATCTGGATAATGACAGGGAGAGAAGGGAAGTTGCCGCACTTCCTCCGAAGGAAGGAAGGAAGGAGGGTGCGTTTAATTATAGACCCAAGGCTGGGGAGTCATGGAGACGCCAGGCTGGACCTCCAGGCTCCCTCTGGACTATCAGCAGCCTTGACCACAGGGGCGAGGCAGAAACCAGATGCCCCCAACTTCTGTGGGCAATCTTGGGTCATCGGCTCCAAGTGTGGCACCCAAATTGCCTGTTGAGTGGGTGGGTGGGTTCCTGGTGCCTCCCACCCTCACGGTGGTCTTGCAGCCGGGGAGGGGGGCAGATGAGGGAGCAGGGAATTCTGCTTTGCACTTCTCCCAGCTGCTGGCACTGGTCCATCCAGCTGTGGGCAGGCCTCCCTCTTCCCAGATGCTGAGCCCAGCATCCCAGCAGCAATTGTGGCTACTTCCACAGCAGAGACCTTTTAACCTCCTGTTCCCAGCCAGGTCCTCTGGCCAGGGGATCGGCCAGCCGGCCGGCCACCCACACACAACAAGCCTTCAGAAGAGACGGGAATTACAGGGAAAGGCGACACATAAAGAGCCTTTTGTGATATGTGGGGCCTAGCAAGGAGTGCCAGGCGATCTGTTCCTCCAGGACTGGCAGAGGGGGCTGCAGGCTGGCAGGACGCTGCAAGCCACAATGGGGAGATTCCCAACAGCTTGGGAAGGGTAGAGCCTTCCCAGGTGAAGTTAAACTATTACAGTACACGGTTTATTCATTTGTTAACCAAAACAAATTTTCTTAGCTTATTGTATGAAGGCAGAGGGAATTCAGAGGCCCCTGAGCATTGGCTGTTTAGAGTTGGCACCCCTATGATCCCGTTTGGTGAGGATTTCCGGGCTGTTTCGCTGCTTCTTGTTTTCATTAATGATAGATCTAATTAAACTGTGTGAGAGAATTGAAATCGTCTCGCCGGGAAGAGGCGCCTGGTGCTGACTTGAGTCCTGTGGTGGTGCCCAAAGCGTTTTTTTATTCACATCTTGTGGGAATAATATCCATAGGCGGACTCTTGTGTTTTGCTGAAAAGGTGCTTTTAAAACGGTTCCAAGTCTCTCTAGGATGAAGACAGCTTTTTATATCATTCGTCCTTACTTCAAAGTGGGAGCCCCCCCTTTAATTCCATTTATTTTCAACCACTATAGTTCAACGGTGTGGCTGGGGATGGCTCTGGGGACGTGGGGGATGTTAAGGGCTGCTTGGGGTTCTCAGCCAGGGATTCCCCTCCTTGTTCTTTGCTTCCTGCCAACAATCTTCATTCCTGGAAGTGCAAAGTTTGCTCCCTGGCAAGAGGCTGGGTGAAATTCTTCTGGCACCTTCTCAGCATCCGTTTCGGTGCCAGGCCATTGAACGAGCGGTGTCTTCCTCCGAAGGCTTATTGAAGGACGTCTGTCAGCCCTGCGGGAGCTTAATGCCTGAAGTTAACGGGATTCGGCAGCCCCTTTTTGACCTGGATGAATGCTTCCCCACACACACACACACACACACACACACACACACACCAGGTCTGAATCAATGGCTCCAAAAAGAAGATAAACTCCAAATAAGGGAATGATTAACAGGATGTGCTCTTCTCCTGACTTGCTGGAAGTTTCCTTGATAAATAGAAACCCTAATAAAGGAGAATATTTGTAGCTCAGGGTTGACATGAGGGGTCCTTGGTGCTCTCCGAGCTTGCTTGTTTTCTTGCAGATGCTTCATGACCCAAACTAGGTAAGTGCTAGAAGAGGGGGGGAGGAGGGGGAGGAGGAGGAGGATTGCAGACATTTCATTACCCAAACTAGGTAATCAGTGCTCTGAGGACATTATCTAGTTTGGTCATGAGACGTCTGCAGGAAACCATCAAGCTCAGGGGTCACCAAGGACCCCTCAAACAGGAACCCTTTGGAGAGAGATGGCCAACCGTGTTAAAGCATTGTAACTTCGAATTGGGGGGCTAAGCATTTTATCCTTACCCTCTGGGGCACGTTCCCGTCACAATTACCGATAACAGCACAAGAAATACAAAACGTGGACTCTAAAGTCTAAAATAGCTGCTGAACAAACATTGCAGGACGAGGACTGCCCGACTTGTGCACGTTGGAAGGGCTGGGGAGGTGGAGAGAGGGGCAGCACAGGGTCATGCACACCCCCTACGTAGAATGGAAGGGGGGGTTTCCTTCCTCCAGCCTCCCATTCAGTGATTGATGACTCTGGCGTGGAAAATTACAGACTCTCCAGATGAGAACTTGGCAGTGAAGGGCGGAGGGAATTTCCCTTCCTTTGCCTCTTCAGAGCGGTCCTGCAGCTGGGCTCTTTTGCACCCTTTCCAAGTTCCTGCTCTCCCATCTCCTGCGTGGTGGGCACCCACCCGCGCAGCCCCCCCTGCATGTCTCCTCGTGGCCCGAATGGCGAAGAGCCCATGCAGTTGCACGCCAACAATGAACGCCTTCAGCAGCTCACGAGTAGCCTTCCTCGGCCAGTTAGGGCGAGCGGCTGCGGCTGCATTGGAAAAAAACCCGCTTTGTTTGGGTTAAGCAACAGCCATGCAATCCTAGGAGGTCTGGATGGTCTGTCTCTCCCAGGCAGAAACCAAGAGCCTGCCTTGGATTTTCTTTCTTGGAAAGCAGAGGAATCGACAAAAGCCAGGGCCGAATTGGACCAGGTACAGGAACCTGGAAAGTTGGGTTTGAAAATGAAAAATGTCCATGAAAAGAATGCTAAATGAAATTTAGATTTTTAACCCCGTGAGCCAAACAGTTGGTCTCTGTCTGCTGGCCTTGGAGATGCCTGGACAAGTTGAGTGGGTTCCCACATTGCAGCAATGCGTGGTTTGTTTAATTCTGATTGGTTGAGTAAGACAGCGTTGTTTAATAAATGGAATCGGGTCAATTTAGGAAATCCTAGCTGAATTAGCCATAGCCTGGTTTTTACAGCCTTCCATGTTTTAATTTACAAGCTCTAGGACACGTTGGCTCAAGACCAGAGCATAAATATGTTCAGTAAACAAACCAAAGCTTATCTAACCAGCATCCTCTTTCCCACACGGCTGTTAATCACTGGCACATCCCTATCACAGGGGTGAGAAGTTGCAGGTCAGCACACTGGGGATGGCCGGAGACATAAAAATGGCACAGGTCAGGCTCAGAGACACATTCCATTCGAGTTAAATGGGGCTTGTAATTCCCTGTGCTTTAATTCTTGGTCCTTTTTGTTGCATTAAAATCACACTTTGGGGGGCAGTTTTCAGAGGGATTATGGGGACTTTGAGGAGAGAGATGGCATTTCAAAGCTCCAGGTGGTGCATTTAACACGGGCAAAAATGACATAAAAGGAGTGGCAGAAGCAAAGGGTAGAGTGAAAAGAGGAATCAGCCTAGCATCCCTACGTAGCCACAAGCAAACCAAAACCCATCTCCTTTGAATTTTGCTGGCCCTTATCTAACTCCAAGGAGGTGCAAAACAGGAGCGGGATAGATTCCTGCACGTAGACATGAATACCAATAAATCAGTTCAATCCGACCTTCACATCCTTTGCATCGATCTAAGTGATGAGGACTGTTGACCTCTACTTTTGAGTTACGCCTGTCCTAATTCATTGATTTCCAACATGTGGCCCAGATGTGGCGCCCACACATAAATGTCTATTTTTCTGCACGATCCTCTGATCTTATTGGATGCTGTCGTCCCATCTGAAATCAAATAAGGGTTTGCTAACCAACTCCAAATTTTGCAGGATTCCAGGCTGGCGCTCCAGTTTTGGAGATCGGGTGGCCTCCCACGATGGCGAGGCCTTCCTTTCAATCAGAATTCTGTTTAGTTTTTTTGAAGTCTTGCAGACTTCCACCTCAGGAATGGAAACATGGGCTCGGTGCCCGAGGCACCACATTGCCGACCCACAGAGGTTGTGGTGATCTTCAAAGGGTTTGGTTGATGCTGTCACGACCTACACTAAGTAAACACTTGGGAGCGGCTGCCCTTGGTGACCTCCTGCATTGTGGTCTCTTTCAGAAACTGGTGTCCCCACATGGTCATCAAGACGGTTTCCTGTCACATCCAAAATGGCACCTATCTCCAGAGAGTTTTCCAGAATTGTCGCTGGCCTATGAGCTGTTCGGGGGGCAGGTGAGGACTCGGGTGAAAGAGGAACATTAAGGTCTCCCAAGCCCACCGTATCTTTTCACCGTTCCAATCCAAAAAACAGGCTTCTACTGGCCTCACAGAGGGACCGTGAACGGTTAAAACAGCGATGAAAAAAATAACTTCGCATCTCCAGCCCTCCCAGGTCTGAAAGCGAAGGAGGGCTGAAGTCACCTCATAAGCACCGTCACAGTTTCTCTTAATAACCAAGTTGTCAGTCACGGTTGCAGTGACTAAATGGGGACTATCTGCATTTACTTCCCCAGCTGGCCTTCCCCCCCCCCCCGGCTTGGTTCGGAGGCCCCCTGCTCTAAATGCTTGGTTCCTCGGTCTCCCTTTCGAATTCTCCCTCCAGGCACAATTGCGCAAGGTTGTTCCTGTCCCTTGAGGTTGCTTGTTCTTCTTTTGCCCTCCAGCTACAGGACGGTGATCCGACCGACGTACAGACAGGCGTATAAGACGGTCACAGCGCTGGAGTGGAAATGTTGCCCTGGGCATACGGGAGTCAACTGCGAAGCAGGTACTGTGTGTGTGTTTGTGAGAGAGAATGACAAAGCTTAATGTCTGTGGAGGTTCCCCGTCCTACAGGTCCTGGTTGTCCCACAGGTGCTTCTTTCAGGAGGCCACTGGACTTCCTTGTTTTTCTTTGAAGACGTTTCGCTTCTCCTCCCAGAAGCTTCTTCAGCTCTGACCGGATGGTGGGGAGTGGAAGGATTTATACCCCTCGCAGACAGCTGGCCCTTTGCCTTCGTTGAGGCCACTTGGAGCTGACCTTGAGGACACAGATTAAACCCCCAAGTGGCCTCCTTCTCCTCTTAAAAGGCGCCCTTTCATACAGATGTCTCTCTCGATGAGACAGGAGCTCAGGTGATCTCAGGAAGCAGAAGAAATCTGGAAAGGAAATAGGATGGCTGGCACAGATGTTGGGAACGTTGTTGATCCAGCAAGGGAGGTTAATAAACAGGGAAAACAGAGCATTTCCTGAGCCCTCCTGGACTTGCGTCACTAAAAGGCTGATCTCACAGGATGGCCAAGGGGGCAGGGAGAACAAACAGAGTAACAGAGTTGGGAGGGACCTTGGAGGTCTTCTAGTCCAGCCCTCTGCTCAAGCAGGAAAGCCTGTATCATTTCAGAAAGATGCAAAAAATATAATGGGATGGGAGGACTGGGCCTCCCCTTTGCTTCACTGCCCAGGGTCCCTTGGGACATCCCCCTGGCCCATTGAATTCCAGCTGCATGGGACGTGAAGAAGCCCTCCCTTTGTTTCCCCCCCCTTTCTCCTCTTTTCAGAGCAAATATTTATGCTGGGTCTTGTCTGGCCGAGGGAAGGGGATGGAGGTCAGGGCAGGGTGGGCTTTGAGTGAACAGCTCGCACATCAACAATCCTTTCTTCGCTGGGTCCCAGCTGGTGACCTGAACTGAACCCGAGACTTGCAGAAAAGAAGAAAGCTGAAAGAAGAAGAAAGAGAGGCAGAGCCAGAAGGATGAGGCGGTGACAACTTTCTGAGTGCCTCTGTGACAAAAGCGAGTGTGTGTGTTTGTGTGTGTGTGTGTTGGGGGCAATAGGCTGACATGGTAAACCACTCAAAGCAGAGTGAAGTGGTATATAAGTCTAAGTGCTATTGCTGTTCCTTCCTTCCTTCCTTCCTTCCTTCCTTCCTTCCTTCCTTCCTTCCTTCCTTCCTTCCTTTTCTTCTTTATTTATTTCCTTCCTTCCTTCTTTCCTTCCTTCCTTCCTTCCTTCTTTCCTTCTTTCCTTCCTTCCTTCCTTCCTTCCTTCCTTCCTTCCTTCCTTCCTTCTTTCCTTCTTTTCCTCCCTCCCAGTGGGTTGGACTAGAAGACCTCCAAGGTCCCTTCCATACTCTGTTATTCTGTTATATCTTTTTTCTTTTGCTTTTTCAGAAACCGTCAGTTACCAGGATGTTCCAGGGGCCACACACGGGATCCCGGCTCTGAGCAGAGTGCCCGTTCGACCTGCAACGTATTCCGGTGAGAGGATTTTATCTTTCCAATTTCCAACTTCTGTCTTGTCCAGAAAAATGTTAAAACTCCTTCTTTTCTTTTTTAACCTCTGCAGGTTGTTTCAACTGCACCAAATTCTCCGAGCTTTTGGAAAAAGTCAACCTCCTGGAAGCCAAGGTTATTTCCGTTCTTCTCTTTCTTTTTTCAGTAATGTGTATTCCGAACTACATTAAAAGGATACAAGAAGCTAATACAAAAAAGAAACAATTTAAAAAAAGAAAATAAAAATATTAAAAAGGGCAGAAAAATCCCCCCAAATAAAGAAGGGGAAATAAAAAGGAAATTGCCCCCTTAGCAGAGATGGAAAGGTTAACTATTTTAATTTGGGAAAAGAATATAACAAGCGTTTTTTTTTCCCTTGGGAACTGCTTCTGAGCTAACTGTCTCACTTAGCAATGGAAACTGTGGGCTTAGCTGTCATAAGTCAAGGACTGCAGCTATTTGCGTACCAGCTGTATTTTGGTGCCTCTGTTAAAGCCTGAAGCCTGACTGAATTTGTCCCTTTTTGACCCCCCCCCCCAGGTAGCTACGTTCACGGCAGCTGGATCCGGACCCTCGGCCGTATCTCGACGATGCTCTACGGGCGATACGGCCCCCAACCCTTTAAATCTGTGGGACCCTCAGGGCACGCCAGGAAAACCCGGAGAAGAACACGGGACAGGTCAGTGAGCGAGAAGGGAGGCTGCCTGCAAGGGGTTTACGCAGGGTGGGCAGAAAAGTCAAGATGGCAGCCATGGCGATGGGAGCAAAGGCCCACCAGGTTTTTTGTTGTTGTTTTCTTCTGGGTGTCTCTGAGATCTACACCCAACCTGATGCATTGTATGGTGTGTGGATAGAATAGAACAGAATAAAAAATATGGAATTAAAAGAATAGAATAGAATAGAATAGAATAGAATAGAATAGAATAGAATTCTTTATTGATCGAGTGTGACTGGACGCACAAGGAATTTGTCTCCGGTGCAGAAGCTCATAGTGTGTGTATGTGTGTGTGTGTGTATACACACACACACACACACACACATATATTAATCAGCTTCAGAGACTCAGCCCCAGCCCCCCCTTGGCCCCCTCCCCAGATCCAGTGTGATATCAGAGCTGGGGAGCATCAGGCGAGGGGGCTGGGGCGGAAGACGGCTGCATCCCAGGGCATCTGGGACTGGCTGCCTCTCAGCTCCGGGGCTGGTTTCAGTTTCTGCAGCTGGAAAGATTTATCTGCCCCCCCCTACGACTCCCCCCCCCTTTATTGCAACACAACATATGCTTCTGGTTTGGTATGTAAGCATTGAGAAAGGTTGATTGCCGAGCTGGCTCCATTTTGCACAAAAGGAGGGCCGGGAAGGGTGTGTGTACAGTATGTGTGAGATGAGCAGGGGTTAAGTGTTGTGGGGGCTCTGTTTCCCCCCCCCCCCGCTCAGGATGGCGAACCTGTGCTGGACCCCTCCCCCCCTGCCCTTCATCTCGCCACAACCAGAAAGGCGATCCTGGGCAACCAGAATGGGACCGACTTGGGGGAGGGGTCTTCTGGCTGCCTGAACCGAATTTGCAACCCCCTCCTCTCTGTCTCCCCCTAATTGCTTTGCAATGCAGCCCCCTCCCCAACTGGGCAGTTAGTAGCAAAGAGGCTATGGGGAGCTGGTGTGGGGCCCAGGCAGGATGCTTCAGCTTCAGCAGCTTTAAATCTGCTATAAATTAGGTGATAGGGATTTGATATTTGCTTTGAACAAGCAGAGTCGATGGAAAGCCAGATTCATTTAACGACCATACGATTCATTTAACGACTGCGCTGATTTTGTTTAACCACCCTGCCCCCCCCCAAAAAGGGTCACAAAATTGGGTACCACCCACGATTGCCTTGCTTAGCAAAAGGAATTCCAATCCCGATTGCGGTCGTTAAGTTGAGAACTATCGCAAGTCCTCCATTTACAACCACCATGGAGCCCAAAATTTCTGTCACTAAGCGAGACATTCGCTGAGTGAGCTTCGCCCCGTTTAACGACCTTTCTGGCCACAGTTGTTAAGCAAACCACTGTAGTGGTTAAATTAGGAACACGGGTGGGGAAGTGAACCCTGGCCTCCCCATGGATTTTGCTGGTGTCACTAAATGAACCGTTGCAAGTCGAGGAATACCTGTCTCTGCAGGTATTTGGGGTGTGATTTAACCCCCCTCCCAATTGACAATCTTGAACAACTTTTCTCTCTTTTCTGTGTTCCAGGAAGATTGGCTTCTCAAGGACCAGCGGGCCCCGTAGGGCCCAAGGGTGACGCTGGGATTCGGGGCCCTTCGGGCATTCCTGGGGTCAAGGGCCCCGTTGGACCACAGGGTAAGTTTGTTATGGGGTGCACGTCCGATTTTGCCCAGGGAATCCCGGTTCAGATGCCAAAGAACATGGATTAAAACCTGCGCTGGGAGCCTGCAATCTGACCACTGCGCCTTCGGTTGTTACTTGCTTGGTTCATCCTTCTCCATTGTCTACATTTATTTCTTCCAGGTCCTCCAGGTCCACCTGGCCCACCAGGACGAGATGGAGGAAGGGGCTTTCCTGGTGAGAAGGGTCTCCCTGGACCTCCTGGACCACCGGGACCACCAGCCCCAGTCGGTCCCCAAATTTCACCCATCCCAGATCAAAGTAAGTCCAAGCAAGGCTGGCTGGGGAATCCTCCTCCTCCTCTTCCTCCATACATCTCAGGAGAGAAACCGCAGTAGATGGAGATACCTGGGTGTTCTTCATGAGATTCTCTTCATGATCTTTCTTTTCTCTTCTGTTCAGGGGATCTGCTTCTCTCCAACTCCTTCACTGAAACTGCTATAACTGGTCCAATTGGACCTCCAGGACTTCCGGGCCCAATTGGTAAGAATAGCTACACCCCAACCAACCTCACTCTACCTGTTGCCTTTGATTAGAATTCACAACGTTTTGGAGTTCTCTGAGCTTGCTTTTATACTAACGAGGACAAAATCTCCATCAGTCAATTGCTAACGGTAGCTTTACCTGGAACAGCATCCATCCTGTGACGACACCTTTGACACCATCACACATCCATATCTGCCTATCCCAATTCCCAGAAGTCTCCAGCCCCCCTTTTCTTACAATAGCCATTCAGCAGAAGTAGAGGTTGACCAGGATGTGCCATTTTTTTCTCTATAGGTCCCCCAGGACCCACTGGAAAACCAGGTTCTCCAGGGCGTGATGTAAGTAGACCATCCATCTCCCCAGGAAGAGAATTGGGGAAGGCGGATGGAATTCCCTTTGGGAAGAAGGGGGGAATTCCACCTCTGTTGCTGTTGTGGTTTATTTAAGATTTATCTTTTCATGCGGGGGGGGACATTGTTTCCTGGCTCCTGGAATTCCTAATATTGGGATGTTATCAAGGAGAGAGCCAACCTACATAGGAAGAAGGAGAAATTTCCTTAGGAAAACAATTAACCAGTGGAACGCCTCACCTCCAGAAGTTGTGGGTGCTCCATCACTGGAAGTTTTCAAGAAGAGATTGGACAGCCATTTGTCCAGAATTGTACAGGGTCTCCTGCTTGAGCAGGGGGTTGGACTAGAAGACCTCCAAGGTCCCTTCCAACTTTATCATTTTGTTATTCTGTTATTCTGAGATTCAGGAATTCCCAATGTTGGGAGGTGAAGGACTACAACTCCCAGGAAGCCTAGCCTGGAAACTCCTGAGTTCCACCACCAGTTGTGAAGAATGCCTTGTGTCTGTAGTAGTTTATGTGAAATGGGATCCTGTTGAGATATTAGACAGAAATGGAGGGCAAGTTGGGATGTGGCCACCGAGGGGCATCACTTAGAGGAACCAGGGCAGGAGAAGGAAACGGTCAGGACTTCTCGGCAGGAAAATATGCTCGGGAAGCACCCGACCTCGTCTGACAGAGTGTGATGGCTTCTTCCAGGGAATTCCAGGATCACCAGGTGGTGATGGGGCCGCTGGTACCCTTGGACAGAAAGGAGAGAAGGTGAGTTTCCAGTTTGGTTTCCTCTGGAAGTTGAGGATCCAAGCAGGTGTCCCTAAAACAGAGATGGGCCACAGTGAATGTGGACCTTCTTGCTGTCCCCAATATGAGCCATCTCTCCTTTGTCTTTCCCATGGCTGAATTCCCCTTCCTCAAATTTGGTTGTGCTGGATCACAGTGCCCATTTTCCCCATCCTACACACGCAGGCAGGCCTGATGGGAGTTGTAGTCCAGCTCCTTTTCAGCAAAGAGCCAGGTCCTAACATCTGTATTTTGGTGTCTTGCAGGGCGAAGTTGGTCCCAAGGGTGACCCAGGCGAGAAGGGGTCCTGGGTAAGTTCTGGGTAATGATAGCCCCCTTTCCTCCCTCTCTCTCCTCCCTAGCTCTTATTTCTTGGTGTCTCGGGCCAAGAAGACCCCCCCATCTTTGTAAACAGTCGGTCCCACCTGCCCAAGAACAGGGGGGGGTAGCAGCCATCCGAAAGACCTTCAGTCAGAAAATGAGAAGGCAGAACGGTTGGGACGTCATCGGCTCCCCCCAATTGATCATCGAGGTTTTTCAGTTTTTCCTTGAGAATGTCCAAGCCTCAGACAACTTTACATCAGAAGTTCAGCATTTGGGGAGATTGCATATTTGAAAAAAAAACCACACTAAATACTTACTGATAGAAGAGAATATTTGCACCTCAGGGCTGGTTCTTGGTGCTCTCTGAGCTGGGTGGTTTTCTTGCAGACATTTTATTACCCAAACTAGGTGACGTCATCAGTGCTAGAAGGCAGAGGGGAGGAGGAGGAGGAGGATTGTGGGGTCCTTGGTGCTCTCTGAGCTTGGTGGTTTTCTTGCAGACATTTCATTACCCAACTAGGTAACATCATCAGTGCTAGAAGGGAGTGGTGATGCTTTTAAAAAGGGGGGGGGAGGGCTTCAATTATTCGGTCACAGCTGCCATTTGCATCCTCTTTGGTGGATCTCCCTCTTTAAGGCTAATTAAATACTTGCTTTTATTATAAAGTGGGAGGGATTGGACTGACCCCCTGAAACAGGGATGACATTTATACTTGATGGTCTCCCGTTTTCTCGTTGCCTCTGGAGAATGGCTTTCCTCTGTGTGATAAGAAGCTGTTATCTGGATTGTGATGAGATCGTTGGAGTAATGCAGTCATGCCCAGGAAATTCCCCCTTCCTTCCTTTCTTCCTTTCACCCCCCCCCCCCGAATGCCCAGGCCACCAACTCATCTATATAGCCCTTTGCAATGTCCCACATTTGGGGAGTTGAAGGTCCACAAGTCATCAAAGGGCCAAGTTTGAAGACCCCTGTTTTAAACCCTTCCCTGCTCTTCCTTTCCACCAGCAACTTTTAATAACAGCAATAAGAGATAGGTAAAGGTGGCTCCTTAGGCTCATCTGAGGTCAGTCACAGCTCAGCCTCCCTTACCAGGAGAAGATGGCCAGGAAAAGCTGCTTTAGATGCCTCCTCCGGAGCTCTCGAGGCCAAAACGCCAAGCATGAATCTCCAATTAACCCGCCCGTCGTGGCTGGGCCACGGGATGTGGTCATGGCAAGCTTCCTGCACCCTGGACCAAGGCTTGATATGGATGGCCTGCAAGTTCTCATCTAACCCTGTAATTCTTCAGGGGGGGGGGGGTTTGCAGGTTCCTGAGGATGTAATGCAAAAGCACCCCCACTTTCCCCCCTTCTCTAGACAGCATGTTTTCTTGCAGACGTTTAGTTCCTTCCCTGTAGCCCATATCCTGCACCAGCTGGTTCTCTTTGCCTGCTTGGCAGCTTCCTCCCCAGAAAACACTCTGTGCATGAAAGATGCCTGGTTGCCCTTGAAAAGGCTTGACCCCCCCCCCCTTCCTGCCTGAATAATAACTGGATTCACACATACACCCTCCTGCGGATAAACCCAAGTGTTTGGTCGTTCGGATGCCTGTGAGAAAGTTGGGAGCGTCTAGGAAAGGCGCTCTCCTTTCTCTCCCCCGCCCCACCCCTGCACACGCGTGTGCGTGCCTTCCTTTCACGGCTGTGTCTGTCTCTTTCGTCCGCAGGGGGAGGGGTTACACCAGCTCCGAGAGGCTTTGAAGATTTTAGCAGAAAGGGTTTTAATCTTGGAGGCCATGATTGGGCTGCATGGTGAGTAGAGACAGGGAAGGAGGACAGACACCCCAACGTTAGCCGCTCTCCGGGCTGAAGGGCCCGGGGTCTCCGAGCCCACCTTCCCCGACCTGAGCTCTCCGGATAGGATGGGGCTGCAGCTTCCGGCACCCCAGGTTTCGTCCCTGTTGACGGGGAAGGCGCCAAGGTAGAAAAGGCTGGCCTGGATGGATGCATCTGTTGGGAGAAGCTGCCCGGACCGACCTATCTGTCTGTTTGGGAGGCTGGGAGCTGGATGGGTGCATATGAAAAGCGACATATCCTCTCCGGCCAGATGGTCTGGCTTCCTTCCTTCCTTCCTTCCTTCCTTCCTTCCTTCCTTCCTTCCTTCCTTCCTTCCTTCCTTCCTTCCTTCCCCCTTTCTCAGGCTCCCTTTACCTATCTACCTTCCTTCTTTTTCCCTTTCTCATCTTTTCCTTCCTTCCTTCCTTCCTTCCTTCCTTCCTTCCTTCCTTCCTTCCTTCCTTCCTTCCTTCCTTCCTTCCTTCCTTCCTTCCTCCCTTCCCTTCCCTTCCTTTCCTTTCCTTTCCTTTCCTTTCCTTCCCCCTCTCTCAGGCCCCCCTTTACCTACCTACCTATCTACCTTCCTTCTTTTTCCCTTTCTCATGCTCATCTTTTCCTTCCTTCCTTCCTTCCTTCCTTCCTTCCTTCCTTCCTTCCTTCCTTCCTTCCTTCCCAGAGAAACTGGATTTCGGGCCCATGAGCATTCAGAGCTCTCCCCCTGGTGGCCAAAGAAAGGAAAAAATGTTTATCTCTTTTGCACAATCTTGATGGATGCTGGGCTGTAGTTTCCCACAAGTCCATTAATGCACCCGGCGGCAGCAGCAGCAGCAGCAGCTTAGGGAAGCTGGATCCAAATAGTGACAAGACCTCAGGAATCAGCCCTCTGTGACGAGCTTTTGTGACTTTGTGATGAGCCGAGTCCAGGGGGAGGCCAGATTCTCTTAAGGACTATGGCAAGAGTGTTCGCAAAATGCGGCAAACAAATCACAACAATGGTGTTGCTGAGCAACAGAAATTTTGGGCTCAACTGTGGCCGTAACTTGAGGACCACCTGTACTCCCTTTCAGCCTTATCGTTTAAGGCAGGGAGAGAATAATGTTACTGCTGTTATTGAATGCTTGCTGGATTCCTGCCTCTTTCTGAACTGGGATCCTGTCTCTGTTATTTCTGTTCATTGGGGAGCTTAGGCTCCTGTGTCAAGCGAGAACAGGGTTGTGTCAGGATGCGTCTTCCGGGAAAAACCTCTCTCCCTTGCCTCCGTCTGTTCCTAGAGGGGGGCTCTGTTGTGCACATATCTGTTGTGAGTCGCTTATCTGCCCTGTCTGTTGTGGGCACGCTCACACCAAACCCATACCGACAGCCCTTGCCTTTTTCGAAAAGGAATTTTTTCTTTCATGGGAAACTGCCTAAAATCTATATATATATTAGAGTTAGAATGCTCCTTGGACAAGAAGCAAAAAGTTTTCAAAAGAAAAAACAAACAAGAACGTCCAGTTGCCTTTTTGGTTTTTTGTTGGTTTTTTTTAAAAAACCACCTTTGGGACAACCAGATTTGGATGATGGAGAATCTCCATAGACATTTAACCACCTTGAGCTTAGCGGTGGAAATCCTGATCCCAAGTGTGGGTCGTAAGTCAAGGACTACCTATATATATATATTTTTAAAAAAGACCTGTATTTTTCAGTTCTTCGTCTCTGGAAATCTCAATTCCCTCCAAACTCGGAACGTCTCCTTATCAGGCGTGACCTGCAGGTTCCCTATAGGGGAGAAATCCCTGGGTACCTTTCTCTCTATCCCGTAAGGAAGACCCTCTCCCACCCCCCCCACTCATACCCCCAGCGCCACCTTTCCAGAGGACCCTGACACCCCCCTGCCCCCTCCCCTTCCTGTTCCCTGCGGGTGGCTCAATCAATTTGCACTCTGCTCTTCTCGATCCCCGCCAGGCCATTAGCTTGCCAAGCTTCCTAGAACAGCAAGCCCAGCTGGAGCTCCTGGCTAGGAGAGTCACCTTGCTGGAAGCTATCATCTGGCCAGGTAATGCGCAATGCGAGGCCTGCCTCCCCCCCCCCTTCCTGTTCTTCCACCGCATGGTGCATTCGCCAGATGCCAGGGCCCGGCAGCCGTGGGCTTTTGCCTTCTACTTCCAAGACTTTGCATGCCATCTCTGCAACAGCCCACCTTTTTCCTGTCGTGTACAACACCTTCCTGAACACAAATGACTTTTTTTAAAAAAAATCCTTAGCATGGTTTGGCCTGTCTTGATTCCCCGGCTGGTGGGAGTAGGGAGGTGGGTGGCTGCAGAATTGGAGGGGAATCCGAAGACCCTCCCCTCTTCTCAGCCTGAGCTAAAGGCAAATCAAGGGTTCCAACCTTTGTGGTATCAAAGCAAATGAGATTTGGACAGCTGGAGCTGCACAATCCCAGCTTCGGCTGGGGATCCTTTGCACATGCTCGGGGGCATCTCCGACTAGCCTGCATGCATGGAAAAATACAGCTTGCACCCATCCAGCAGGGATGGGATTAGCAATCAGTTGTTCGGGACGGGGGTCCCACTCCCTGGCGTGTCCAGCTCCATTGAGACTGCAGCTCCCGTTAATCCCAATGGCCAAATCGCCTGGATAGTTCTGGGAATTGTAGTTCTCGTGCACCTAGAGAGTACGGGAGAGCGCCCTGATAGAGACACGTGTAGGGAGGGGTCCATCTGCGAAGTATCTGGAAATGATAGGGAGATGCATGGGAATGGCTTGGAACCAGCTTCTCGTCTTCCAATAGCAGGCCTCTCTGGAACACCTCTGAGCAGAGCAGAGCTGCTCCTGCACATGGAGGTTCAATTGACCTCCGACGGGATCACTCACCTTCACAGGCTCCCCATCCCTCAGCCTGCTGATTGTGCCTTGGTTTATCTTTTGCTGGTAATGAAACACCTATTGGGTGTTCAGGCTAAATGAATAACTGATACCTTATCTTTTTGTTCAAGAAGAATTAATAACCTACCAGCCCAAGCAAGCAAATTTGAAAAACACTGAGCTAAGCTACAGGTCTCTAAATGAGAAAGAAATACAAAATGCACACAAGCAAAGACAGACCTTGGATTACAACGTCCATCACATATGGCCAATGGCCAGGCTGGCTGAAGCTGATCTATGTTGGGATCCAACAGATCGCGGTGCTCCTGCCCTCTGCTCCGGCAAAGATTTGCCAAATTGTGAGGTTCCAGTTGCTCAAAACCCACCCAAATTATGCATTGGGAGGACGTTGCTCTTGAAAGACGGGGGACGTTGGAGTCAAGCCATTTCCAAAATGGGGAGGGGGGGGAAGAGGACCCCAGAGGGGCACCTGAAAACCCTAGTCCTTCCTAAGGGCAAGCCAGCGCATCTTCACATATATCTCAAGGCCATAAAGACGCCTGGATAGGAACGAGTGAATCCTAGAATTTAGCCATTTCTGCCATGCTGACAATTTCTTCCTCCTTTGGCAGAACCAGATCTGGGATCCGGGCTTGATCCCGCCACTACGGGGGTCCCCGGCTACGATCGGAGTAAGCGCAACGAGAACTTGGCGGCCTACCAGGTGAGCTCGCACCGTCCTCCTCACAAGGGAGAGGAGAGGAAGAAATGAAGGGTGGTCTACCCACCATCAGGCGAAGAAGAGGGCCACGTCTGGATCAAGGGACCTCCGATTTGGAGGGAGCACCATGCTCCATCCTCCTCCTCCTCCTCCTCTCTGCCTTGGACCGTTGGTGATGGAGACGAGCTGTTCGACGGCCAGGCAGGGGACAGGGCCCTGGCCAACGATCCTACTTTGTATTTATTCTTTTCGCACAGATTTGTTCCTGCTATGGAACAAACAGGAATAGATGTTATGGGGCCTATGCTCACGGGGGTGGGTGGGTGGGTGGGTCTCAGCCTCCCTGTCACTTGCCACAGTTCCCCACTTGTGGTCAGATTGAGCCATAAGGCAACGTGGCAGGGATGGGTCAGCACACGTGATGGCATCTCTCCGGCATGCGTTCAGCAGCTCGGGATGCTGAGATGCTTCCTCTCTCGCAGCACTGCTAACGCTTTGAACCTTAATTTTACCTTTCTTCGAAATTGGATTCCCCCCCCTCCCTTTTCACTTCAAAACAAACCCCAGCCATTCTGCCTAAGAGCCCTGGTGGCACAGTGGTCAGAATGCAGTACTGCAGGCTAACTCACTGCCAGGAGTTCGACCCTGACCGCCTTAAGGTTGACTCAGCCTTCCATCCTTCCGAGGTCAGTAAAACGAGGACCCAGATTGTTGTGGGCAAGAGGCTGACTCTGTAAACCGCTTGGAGAGGGTGTGTAAAGCACTTTGAAGCGGTATATAAGTCTAAGTGCTATTGCTATAAAGCAGGATTTCTCAATCCTGGGAATTTTAAGACTTGGCTGACTGGGGAATTCTGGGAATCGAAGTCCACATGTCTTAAAGTTCCCAAGGTTGAGAAATACTGCAAATGGATGGAGATGGACTGGGAATTCAATCATTCTGGTCACACACACACACACACAAACACACACACAGAGTAGCTGAGCAGAATTGGGAGCCTCCCCACCCGTATTGCCTAGGAGCAGGGATTTCAAAAGTTTCGGGAATCAGACGAGAAAGAATCTTGTGACATTTGGTGGATAAACCGGCAGATTGTTGCCCAAACTCTGGGCATTTTGTGGAAGGAAACCAGGATCCGCAAAAAAAGCTTACACGGGATTAAGAGGGGAGTCTTTATTTATTATCCCAACTTTTTGAAATTTGTGTCTTTTCTTGTAATAGTCTTCCTTTATTATTTTGGGGAAAGATTTGTTGGGGAGGGATGGTGGCGAAGCAAGGATTGCTAGCTGGTCCTCTCCAGCATCTGTCAACAATTTTGAGGGAGAGTAAAAAAATAATAATATTTTCTTCTGTTTAAAGAATAGCCTTTGTGCCTCTTCATGCCTGTATTTACTTGATCGGCGTTTATAAATATCAGTGGTATCCTTGCACACCTAACACAGGGCATCTTTTCCTGGATGCCTCCCTTGGGATCCCCTAGGCTCGCTCTTGCACCCCACCTTTTAAACCGGTCCCTGGTGCCCAACAGGTTGGGGGCTGCTGGCCTAGAACGGGTGGATACGCTTGGCAAAAACTGCATTGGGTTCCTGAAGTTTTGTTCCTGTGGCATGCAACTTTGGGGTGGCATTTGGGGTTTGTTTGTTTTTTGCTCCATTCATTCATGTCCAGGGTGGAAAAAGGAATTGCAAGCAGACAAATCGCAACTCCTGTCTGGAAAGGCATCTTGGGTGGCCACCTGCCGCCCCTCAACTCCCTGCTGCCTTCCAGGTAGGCACAGGTGAACCTGCGTCTTTCCCCCCGGAGACTCTAAAGCCTTTTCATGCTCTTGCAAAAAAAACCAGGTTTGATTTTGCAAGACATCCCTCTGTTTTGTGGCATTCGTGGCCTCTCCCGTTTCTGCCCGGTATGGCCGAAGTTCTGCCCAAATGCCAGCAGTCAATCTCACGGGTTGGGGGCTGACTGAGGCTGTGTGGGAGGCCCCGAGCGGTTCTCGGCCATCACCACGGCTTTGTCCCCGACGTGGCCTCCAATCAGTAGAGAGACGGCTCCTTCCACGTGGCTGGTGGCCGCCAGAGCGATCACGGCCTCTTCCGTTGGGAAGCCCATCTTCTGCAGCTGCTGGAGCCTGGGAAGGGGGCAAAGAGAAGAAGGCAGCCTTGGAGGGGGGTGTCAGAGGCCGGACTGTCAGGCCCACAACAGAAGAACAATGGGCGACGTTACTTCTGAGTACTGTCGTTTATTGTGGTTTACCTACAGACAGAATCTTGCCGGAGTAAAACAACGACATGCATAAGTATAAATATACAGGTAGTCCTCTCCTTACAACAGTTCATTTAGTGACTCTTCGAAGATACAGCGGCACTGAAAAAAGTGACTTGGGACCGTTTCGCACACCTACGACGGTTGCAGCGTCCCCGCGGTCACGTGATCAAAACTCAGAGACGCTTGGCAACTGACCCTCATATTTATGACGGTTGCGGTGTCCCGGGGTCATGGGATCAACTTTTGCTAGCTTTTTTTGCCGAGCAAAGTTTGTTCCCAGGGTTTTGCACTTACGGATACACTACTCCTGCAGCTAGAGGTTCTACACAGCTCTGCCTGCACCCGATTTCTCCCAAGGACTTACCGGAGGGAAGAAACAGAAGATTTGGGCAGCTTCACTTCCTCTTCATTTCTGTCTTGCAGGGAAGCCCGGATTCCTGCTTGTATTAGCTCTTCCTCCGTCAGGAAATCCGGGAGAGAAAAGAAAGGGGCGCCCAAAGCCTCTCGGGGGTCTGAGAAGGGGTGCTGGGACGTAGGGGGAAACAGCAGCTGGGACTCCTGGGCTACCCTTTCATCAGCCCAAGATGGAGGAGGAGACAGAATCTGGACAGCAACTGTCCCTGCCACGTCGGGTGGAAACATCTCCTGAGCAGGAATTCTGGAAGACAGGAGAGAAGAAACAGCCAAGGGAGACGAAGTCAGTCCAATTGGGCTAATTTGGGTCTATTAAGATGAGAACTGGGCAACTTGGCATTGTGACAACTACAATGCCACAACTCCCTAGCTAGCCAGGTGAGCGACAAGGGCCGTTGGAAGTTGTAGTTCAGCAGTCCTAGAAGGCGATGGGTGCCCAACTCTTCTGCACCCAAAATGGTGATGTGTGAATGCAGAACACAGCCAGGTACGTATGCATGCATGCATGCACAGGCTCATCCCTGCATGCTTCAGTGCAGTCGGTTTTTGCATGGCTGGCTCAGGAATGCTGGGAGTTGAAGTCCACAAGTCTTAAAGTGGCCAGACTCTTGCTCTGTGCATCCGAGAAACCCCCGGCTCCAACGAGGATTAAATGGCTCTTTTTTTTCAGATCTATCAGAGCCAAGAAAAACCTCTTTGGAAGGAAAGCATTATGAGATCTCTCTCTCACCTTCCCAGTCCGACACGCATCCTTTATCCCAAGGCCGATCAAAATCCCCAGTGGAACAAGGGGGTGTTGTAAACTCTAGGCGGTGCTTCCCCACTGAGTAACTTTAGGAGTTGAAATCGACATATTTTAAAAGTTTCTGAGGGGGAGCAAATTTCTCCATCTCATTCCAAAAATACCTTTCCTTTCTGGCTGGTTGGGGAATTCTGGGAGTTGAAGTCCCCCTATGATGCCTGGGGAATTCTGGGGGCTGAAATCCACGTATCTTAAAAGAGTTCCTGTGGTAGGAAACGCTGCTATAGGAGCACAACTTTACACAAAAGTTACCTTTCCTTCTTGACTGTAAATGGAAGGCTGCCGGATGTGGAGGGCCTGATTAAGTGAGAAAAAGTCCTTCTGAGGTGGCTGCAGCCCGGGATCCACCCTTGCAGCCTTTCCAGGCGTCTCCTGGACGATGTCCCAGCACAGTCTGAGGCATTAAGGACAATCACAGAATCATAAAGATCATCATAGGCCTGAAAGGGACTTCGGAGATCTTCTAGTCCAACCCCCTGGTCAAGGCAGATCTTATTCCAAGCCCAGTCAAATGGTTCTCCTGCTTCACTGAAGAAAGCCAGGTTTTTGGACAGCCACTGCAGAGGCAGCAGTTCCAGCAGCTCAGGACCCATCATCCTGAGCAGGAGGGGAAGTGAGGCTTCAAGGCGCAGTGAACGCGCAATGGCTGCCATGCCCGCAAGCGCCAGCACGCTTACTAGTCCTTTCAACGTGTGATCCGGTTTCTTTAAACCAGAAAGTCCATTTATCAGTTTGGTGCCATGAATTGGTTCCAACTCCCTCTCCCAACTTTTTACCTACAAGACAGGCAGAGTCCTCGACTTACAACGGTCCGTTTAGTGACCGTTCTAAATTAGAACGGCACTGAAAAAAAAGGGATTTGGGACTGTCTTTCACACTTACGACCGTTGCAGCCTCCCCGTGGTCAAAATTCAGAGACCTGGCAACTGACTCACAAAACGGGCCAAGATCCACTGACAACTGTTTAGCAACAAAAACTTTGGGCTCAGTTGTGGCTGTAAGTCAAGGACTACCCACAAGAGATGCTGGCAAACGAGGGGCCGCTATCCTTTAGAGCTTTTGAAAAAAAAATGTGTTTTTTTTCCCCCTTTGGCAAAAGAATCATCAACAAATCCTTTCAAAATCTGGGAGGGCTGCCAATGATTTGGGGGCCACAGGAGTCCTAGAGTGGCCCTTCTCTTCCCACGTGGGTCATAGAGAGGGCCCTTCTCTTCCCATTTCCCAGCCTCAAAGCCCACCTGTTTGGAAAGGATACAGGCCAGACCTGTCAGCAGCCCAGAGAGGTGCAGGAGGAAGGGAGAACGTGGGGACAGGATCTCCCCAAGGCCGAACAGCAATCCAGCCAACAGGGCCACGGGCAGCCACCCTGAGCGCCTTCCGTGGCACCCCAGCAGAGCCAGGTGGACAGGGATGTAGCCGCTGATGGTGGTCTGGGCTTCGACGCCCCAGAGTCCAGCCAGGAACAGGTAGACCAGGGCTGAGCCGGCAGCAGAGAGCGCAGTGGTACGGAGGTAGCAGAGGGTCCCTTGGTGCAGCTCAAGGCGCCAGCTCAGTGGTGGGAAGAAGAGCAAGCTGGCGGCCAGGAGAGAGGCGTTGGCGTGGCCCAGGCAGTACGTGACTAGGCGGAAGGCTGCAAGAGAAGAGACCTCGTGATGTTAACGCCGCGTCCTTTTCTGTTCATTTTCATTCTGTCAATCATTCTGAGAAAAATCATTAAAACTCAAAGAGGAATTAAGTCTTTATAATAGGGATGTCCAACCTTGGCAACTTTTAAGACCTGTGGACTTCAACTCCCAGAAGACCCTAGCCAGGCAGCCACTCAAGTACGAGACACCCCATGATCCCCAGCCGGCTGCACTAGCGCCGAGTGAGGAAAGTCATCTTGGTTCAACAGGGGAAGTTTCAAAGATGGAGACCAACCTTGCAGAGGGCTGCTTAGCAAGCTGGGTGATAAGACGAAATGGTCTCCAATTCCAGTCCCCCAGAAGACGCTGAGAAGTAGCATCAAGATGGAGGAAGCAATGGGGAGATGCCGGACCCACCTCAGCCTGGGGATTAGCATGCCCCTAGGAGAAGAGAGGGCTGTTATTAATTGAAGGGAGCAGTCCAGCCGCTCACTGAGACTTTTATTCCCAATAAACCTCGTAAAATGGGTGCTACACAGATGGAGGAAGGACCTGGCTCGGATTATCATCTCTGTCCTGCAAAGAACAAGGACAATCATCGTGATCGCCTCCCAGCCAGGGAGATACTTTGATTTTCTGAGTAAATGTCAAAAGTTCAACCCTGTGGTCTGGGCTGAGATCATTACAGGCACGCCTCGACTTATAACCATTTGTTTAGTGACCGTTCAAAGTTTACAATGGCACTGAAAAAAAGTGACACGGCCGCTTTTCACACTTAATGACGGTTGCAGCATCCCCTTGGCAACTGACTCATATTAAGAACTGGGTCTCCTGCTTGAGCCAGGGGGCTGGGCTAGAAGACCTCCAAGGTCCCTTCCGGCTCTATTCTGATTTTGACTCGGTTGCAAAGTGGGGCAACACTCGCTTAACAAATGTCTCGCTTAGCAACATAAAGTTGGGCTCGATTGTGGTCGTAACTCAAGGACGACCTGGAAAAAGGTGAAACATGTGATCTTTTTCAGTTCCCCACGTTCCAAAGCAGTTTACCTGCAACAGGTAACAGCGTGGGAAGGACGGCTTGGGGAGTTCCCAGAAAACCAGATTAAACGGATCTCAGACGGATTGGCTTCTTCTCCATCGTCCAAAGCTGCCTCTGAGCCACATCACCCACCCGCCCGCCCACCCAGCGGCAATTAAAACCTCTCAAATTCAGTTAAAGCCCACCCACTCTTGCCTTTGCAGCTGCCATTCCGAGACTTCCCCCTTTTTTTTGCAGCAAGGCAGCCTGGCTTGCAAAAACAGGAAGATTTGCCCCCCCCCTTCCCTTTTCTTCCCATTGATTTCACCCTGCTCAGGAATGGCTGCTAAAGGCAGGGCTGGGGGCTGCCCCGGGCTGGCTGGCTGGCTTGGAGAGGGCCGGCCTGCAGCCATTTTGGACATGCCAGCAGCTGTTCCAGGCAGGGCCCGCTAGCACATGTGGGAATGGCGGAGGAGCGTCTCTAAAGAGGAGGAAGCAGGCAAGATGATGCTGGGGAGGAAGGGGGGGGGAGTCTAAGCAAATCAGTCCAGCCGTTGGAAAACCCCACCTTTGCCCAGGGCTGCAAAGAGCCTGCTGGACCCCATTTTTCTTCTTCTTCTTTTTTTTGGTATAGATTTTATTAGTTTTTATGGGGTTAGGAATAAGGTGGGGTCAGGGTCGGGATTAAGGCTAGTTAGGGTTGGGGTTTTTCCAAGCAATTCTCAATATTTAGCAAACAGCGTAACGTCCAGGTTCCTGCGTTTAACAAACAATAATAGCAAATAGTTAATTATCATAAACAATGTGTTAATCACTCAATCTTGCTAATATGTATATTCAAAATTACACATCACTTTCCTTTCTCTCTAATTCGTCTTTCTAGTTAAAATCCAGAGCCAGGCACTCAGGAAAGGACCACGTGGTCGACGCCTGCCCCGTCCCTTTTTACATCATCGCGGAGAGGCTGCACAAACTGAATAAGCTACGACCCTTCCCATCATCCACCGCCAGCCTAACCCAGTTCCTTCGCCAGAGCCCTCCACGTTTCCCGACCCTTCCGCCTCTTGCGCGAGGATCCCTAAGCAGCGCTCAGACGGTACCATTCTACTCCTGGCACGGGGGTGCACCAAAGCGGAAGGAAAGAGCCACAACCCCGCTCTGCCCCTCCGGCTGCCCTTAGCGCCTTTCTCCTCGTCTTACCTTTCTCTCTTCTTCGGAGTCCTCGGGGTTTTTCTGCAAGGGAAGCGCAGGAACGGGAGAAGAAGCGCGAGGCGGCGCCCCCCCTCCTCTCCGCCGCGCAGTGGTATCGTCCCTTGCTGGGAAAACCTCGCGCCTGCGCAGTCCCGGGCTGCAGAAAGACCGGGAGGACGTTAGCGAGGAGGGAGGAGGCGGAGAAACGACGCTGACGACGCCGAAGCGGGACAACTAAGCGGCGGCGGAGGAGACAGCGGAGGGGAGCGCAACTAAGCGATGGCGTCGACGGGTGAGGCGAATCGTCCGGGGCTTAGCCGGGAGGGGGGGAAAGAAGGCCAAAAAAAAAAAAAAAGCCGTGAGGGCGCCGCTAGAAGCGGGCGGCGAAGAGAAGTCTCGGCATCGCCTCCTTCTGGAGAAGCCCCACCGCTCCCGAGCGCAGGCGGGGGCCGGACCGGGGAAGAAGGTCGGCCGGGGCGGCCGTTGAGGGGGCCGAGGCGGGGGAGGGGCGGCCGGGGCGCCTGCGAAGTGCGCAGGCGTGGGCCCTAGTTACGGAGCGCGCATGCGCAAGCGAGGCGCTGCCGCCGGGCCTACTCGCTTTATTGAACGGCGGCGCGCGCGGGTGGGAGGAGAGGCGGAGGGTGGAACAGCAGCGCCATTTCCCCCCCCATACACTTTTTTTTACTCCACTGGGTGACTTTATCTCCCCCTTTTTAAACCTCTTCCTCGCTTTCACCTAGGCCAGGGGTAGGCAACCTTGGCTCTTTGATGACTCGTGGACTTCAACTCCCAGAATTCCTGAGCAAGCATGGCTCAGCTTGGAAACCTCTCCCTTTCCCCTCAGCGTGGCTGGCTCAGGAATTCTGGGAGTTGAAGTCCACGAGTCATAAAAGAGCCAAGGTTGCCTACCCCTGGCCTAGGCGCCCTTCCTTTCTTCCTTCTTTCCTTCCCGTTTTTTAATACTTCCCTTCTTGTTCTGTTCTTTTAGCTCTGCCTCTGATTATACTTTTTACCTCTTGCTTTCCTCCCCTGCAAAAAGGCCTCCTGCTTTCTTTGCCTTTATGCCCTTAATTCCTTACATATGTGTGTATGCGGATATATGCATTGTGTATTTATTGTCATGTTTAGGCATGGCAATAAATATTTGGAGGTGGTGACCCTTTGAGAGCTGTATGCAACGAAATTCATTTTAATGTATGCTGATCAGTGTACATTTAAAGTGACAATAAAGTTCTGTTCTGTTTCAGTGTTTCTCAAACTCAGCCATTTTAAGATGGGTGGACTTCAACTCCCAGAATTCCCTAGGCAGCATGGGAGTTGAAATCTGTGCATTTTAAAAGTTAGAGTAATTTTAGAGGGTTGGATTTTGATTTTACTGCTTTCATTTTATGCCTTAGCTGACTGTTGTTTTCCATTCTGCATTATTGAACACGGTTTGCAAGGAAATGAGCAATATAGATGGATCATTCTAAAATACAAGACAGCCAACCAAATTTATAAAGCACTTTTCTAAAGGAAGCAGATGTGTTAAAATGAAACTTCATTTTTAACCAAGGAAATAGATTGTTCTTAAAATATTCTTAGCAATGCCTTTCCCCCCAGTTTTGTTGCTCCAAGTAACCAGTGGTAGCAATTTACATCTCCTGAAGTTACATCTAGTTTATAAAAGAGTATAATTTGCTAAGTTACAAGGTGTGGGAACTTGTTTACTCTTGCTGCAGCTGATAATGGCTTCTGAAATTTGTCCTGGGGGCACAAAAAAAAGGCAGTTCAAATATGTGCGTATAGAACATAATCCAATCACAACTCTGCAATTTAGAAAGTCAAGATCAATAGTACATTTGGAAATAAGCCACTGCACTCTATTAGTGAGCAGACTTAGAAAGGTCTGTTAGTTCCAGTTGGAGACTTAGGGGGTAAGATTTGTTTAGTTTCTTCCCTCACTGAGACTTTAAAGAATTATAAGATGCTTGTGAGGGTTACCTGCTTACAGCATATATACACATGTATATTTTAGTATGGTATTGCAAAAAAACAGCTTTTAATTCTTTAAAGATTCCATTTTGAATGCTGTTAAACTGCATAAAATACAGTAATACTCCTTATGGAAAATGAAAAGCCAAACAAATGAAACAAAAACTGATTTTACTGTTGATCAGAAAATATTTTACATGATAAAGCAGGAAAAAAATTGAAAATAATATGTGTAGAGCAGGGGTCCCCAACCCCCGGTCTGTGGGCCCAGTGCACAAACGAGCACCAAAAGTTGTAAAGTGAAACTTCACATAAAAACCAAAATTACACTCTGATTGCACTATATAAAAGCTGCTTGCATATTGCTTCCATAATGGTAATTCTTTTAATTGGTCCATCTTCTGATGAATATTAGCACAAGCTCTTTCTTCTCAGGAGTTCTTAGCACATTTACTCTGAAAAGAAAAGACTAGATTTTAGATTGAGTTGGTTTTATAGTAATTTGTTTTCCTTATTCTTGATTTTGTCTTCTTACCATCTGCAGATTATAGCACCTACAGTCAAGCAGCTGCCCAACAGGGGTGAGTTTTTCTATATATAGTAATGTTACATAAAGAAAACTTGGATTAGAGTTCTAAAATGTTCTCATTCTAAAATATTCTATTCTGAAATATTCTTTGATATTGCAGAGTTGGCATGAAGAGTTTTGCTTTTTACTTTACATCTGAAGCAATGCATTTTACTCCTTTTTAAACCATGTTTTTTTTTGTTTTGTTTTATAAACCTTCAAATATCTTGTCTTCTTTTCATAGCTACGCAGCATATGCAGCTCAGCCAGCTCAAGGATATGCACAGACTACCCAGGTAAAATACAACCACTGTGATAACAATAAAAATTGTGACCAATTTGAAGCTTTTACATATTTTGCTAGATTAAAAAAGCAAGCAGGAAGCTATTAAATTAGAAAGAGCCTACCTCATCTCTATTCACTGCCTCTTTGTATTGGCAGTCTTAAGAAAGAAAATGCCAAAAGCCCATGAAAAATGTTGGCAAGCTTTTCTGTAAAAGCCACTTCTCCCCTGATTGAAGTGTTCTTTTTAAACAAGGTTTTGTGTAGTCCTTGGTGCTCTCTGTGTTTGGTTGGTTGTTTGCTTGCAGATGTTTCATTACCCAACTTGACTGATGTTGTTACCTAGCTGGGTAATGAAACGTCTACAAGCAGATAAACTCAGGACCAAGGACTCCACATTTCTATTAAGCTGTTTCTATTAAGCTGCAGAGATTCTCTTTTGCTGAAAGTAGGTTTTATCATACATGGAATATAGAATAGCTAACTTAATGCTAAAATTAACTGAAATGCCCCCAAAGAGCAACTAACAGTGGTAACACAGGAAGTAGCAATTTAATCTCTTTCCCATATTTACCATAAGGCATATTTTTGAAGCTGCATTCCCATACATACTTATTGGGAATATTCTTCATCAAACTGTGCGGATACCAAAGTTGTTTATACAGGCTTGACTCTTAATTGCTGTTTACAAGCAAGATAAATGTTTTTGCGTAGTACTTAAGTATTTGAAAAAAACACACACAATTTGCCGCAGACGTCCCAAAAATGCTTTTTGCAAAAGGCAACTGGACTTTCTTTCTTGGGTTTTTCCTTCTCATCCAAGAAGCTCCTTCAGTTCAAGTAAGCTTTTGGGATGAGAATCAAAATGTTTTCAAAGGAAGGGGAAACCCACCCCACCCCCACCGCCCCCCAAAAAAGTCCAGGTGCTTTTTGCAAAAAAGCACCTCTGGGACAACCATGACTTGGATGACTGAGAACCTCCATAGACATTGTGCTGCAGAGTCGAGAGAAAATGAGAGAAAATTTGGGGAGCTTTAGGGTAGAGAAAAGTAACAACGGATGACTTAGCTGAAGGTAACTTCATTTCGCTAAGCGTTAGTCCTGTGCTAGATGAAATGCATTTTATTATTAATTTGAACTATCTGCTAATGAGCCGTAATTGATTTTTTTCCTCTGTGACATTCTCCTGGCAAAACAGAGTACTTCTTCATCTTGACCACCATCCGTATACCTCTTTTCCTTTTTCTCTCGGGTTTTGTAATCTTGGGAAGATTATTCCCTTGGTCTGCCTGACTGGAGGATATTTCAAAGTAGGAAATGGGAGGATGTAATCTCTGACATGCCTGCGCATAGAATTACATCTGCTCTCTCATGGCACAGTTTTAAAACATTTCTTCTTGCTGGCAGGCCTACGGACAGCAAAGCTATGGCACGTATGGACAGCCCACTGATGCCAGCTATACCCAGCCTCAGACCACAGCTACTTACGGGCAAACTGCATATGCCAGTTCTTACGGGCAGCCTCCAACCGGTGAGCACATCTGTCTTCAGTCACTCTAGTACAGGTAGTCCTTGACTTAGCAGCAGTTCGTTTAGTGACCATCCGAACTTACGATGGCACTGAAAAAATGACTGATGACCGGTTTTTTCACACTTAACGACCGTCGAAGCATCCCCATGGTCTCGCGATCAAAATTCAGGCGCTTGGCAAGTGACTCACATTTATGACGGGTGCAATATCCCCGGCGACCTTCTGAGAAGCAAAGTCAATGGGGAAGCCCGGATTCACTTAACAACCGTGTTACTAACTTAACAACTGCAGGGATTCCACTCAACAACTGGGGCAAGTAGGTCATGAAATGGGGAAATTTTTACTTAGCCAGATGTCTCGCTTAGCGACAAAAAATTTGGGGCTCAGTTCTGGCCGTATGTCGAGGACTACCTGTATTTATTTATTCTGGATGGGGGAGAGAATGATGCCGTGGATTAATTGGCCACCGAGAAAGATTGAGGGTGCTAGTTTTCACATAACTGAAACACTTCTGAACACGAGGGGGGGGGGGAAAGGCCACTCATGAATTAACATTCCTGGGTGTTCTGAGATGCTAGACTTTTCTATTGTTTCGAGGAAGTGAGTTTAAAGCGTGCTTGTTTGTTCTGATGAAATGCCCTCTACTTTTTGTCTCGTGCTTTCCACAGTA